TCAAAAAACAGTGAAATTTGTTTTTTGTGAAAAGTTCATTTTTTTGGCCAATGAAGCTTTTAACAATTATTTAAAATGCATCTGATCACTCTACACAATAATCTAGAAACAATGTGAATGAACACCACAACAGCTTAAGCTGCAAACTTGGCAAAACACAAAATTTATCTCACTGCCAAAACTTTTGGCCATGACTGTAATGCCCTTTTAAAGAAGCATCATTTAACAATGTATCAAAGACTACCAAGCAGATATAAACCTCATTTACATTCTGAGTGGTGTGACCATATTTCCATCCATTGTTCTCTGAAATTATTAGTCTCTCTGGACCTGCTCTGGTCAGATACCACAACACATTTCACCCATTAGTGGCTCATTGTGCTAAAGTGCTATATGTGGTTATAAATAATCATCATGACTGGTAGCAGTGAAAAACAGGATGTGGTTAACAGTCACTGAACAGAATATATGTCTAACATAAAAAGTTTAGGACATGTTCACCAAAGTCATTGCTTCAGATCCCCACAAGAAAATGCATCCAAAAAAAGCTTCTTAATTCTCTATTTCAGTTCTGCTTGTATCACTTTATTAGAAGAATGTCTCTGTTCAATGTGCGTGAGATGTCTTGCTTTTTTTAACTGCTGGCTCAAGACCTACATTTCAATCACAGACGGGAAACAACACCGTTAAAAGGCTGTTGTGAAAGAGGAGCTTTTTCATGCTGTATAATCACAACAAAATACAACATACAGGCCATTGCAAGTATTGTCATTATTCATGCGCACAAGTTAGAAATGTAAAGTTTCAGAAAATTTCATACAGCATTGACAAACAGTTAAAGGGTTACTCCACCCCAAAATGAAAATTTTGTTATTAATCACTTACCCCCATGTCGTTCCAAACCCGTAAAAGCTTCGTTCGTCTTCGGAACACAATTTAAGATATGTTGGATGGTTTAGGTTTGGGGGTAGGTTAAGGGGTCTAAAAAGTTTTTTTAGCTAAAAATACGTAGCGATTTGTACGTTTTAAACGTTGAAATACGTCTAAATTGTACGTTTTAGCATTAATAAAAACGTACAAAAGTGTACGTTTTGTGCTTGTAATTGTTACGTATTAATACCTACGTATAAACATGAGACCAGGCTGGATTACCACAGAGACACTGACGCTTACAAATTGTATTAAAGACAAAAGATAAAGTTAAGTGTATAAAATAATTTTGTAATAATGAATTAAGGTATTGGTGTATACAAAACTTCAGCCAGTGTCCAATCACTTTGTCCCATTTTACCCTGGAAATCCAGAAAAAAAAGAGAATGTGATAGTTTTATGCGGTAATTACAAACTACTAACAAACAAACTATATTTAATGAGAGATTCTGACCTGAACACTATGAATCCAGTCCTGGTTCAGGTTATTAGTTCTTCCACAATCTTTAAATAAGAAAACAATTATACCAAAACATATTATTGAACAAAATCTTGGTAGAAATGCTCAAGTAAAATCCACCTTTCCACAGTCCTGTTCCTCTCCAACACACATAGACACTTGACAGCAATAAGAGTAGCAGAAGCAAGCAGACGACAGGCAGCCACGGGATGACACTGATGATCACTGGATCATTACTGCTAGTATCTGTATCCTGATCGACATCTTCAGTGCTCACTTCTACACACAACAACAACAGAAAAATACAGATTTCTACTTTAGTATTAGTTTTAGGTCAAAAATAACAATTAAATGACAATTAAATAAAAAAATTAATTAGGAATGTATTTAATAGAAGAAAATGAAAAAAAAACCTACCTTCAAACTCTAGTTTTGTGCAGTGAGTTTGCTCAATCATATATTCAGTGCAGCAGTAGAGCATGAGATCAGTGTCAGTGATGTTCATCAGAAGCAGAGAGTGAGTGTTTGTGGATGAACTGAAAGCTCTTATCCGACCTGCATAACTGGGGTGAATATTGGAGGGCTCTGGTTTAGATTCCGTTCCATAAATATATTCTAGTCTCAGAATTCTGACAAATATTTGGTTTCCATTTGTAATGATCCAGGTAATCTCTTTATCATCTTTAATGCTACAGGGAAGTGTTGTGTTTCCTTCTGGATGAACTTTCACTGATGATCCTTCAGTGGCAATCATTAAGACATTGAAACCTGAAGATGAAACAATAAAATTGTTTGATTTATATGGAAAACATGAATCCAAGAAAAACTTACATGGCAGTGATCATTTGACAATCTGGATCTTGGTGACATTGACATTTAATCATGTAGCAGATCATCAATCATGTAGTTTTTATCAAAATTAATTTACAAACAAGTAAAATCACGAGTTATTCATCAAACCATATCTATAGCATCACTGAAATTAGAGCATTTGATAACTTCACATACTCACATATAAACTGTTTCAGAATCATTTTCTCTCTCTCTCTCTCTCTTTGGGGTTTGTTGCCATTTACATCACAGTTTGTGATTTTTGTCAACTGCTGTAAGGATGAGTCAAAGGCACAAATCCCTCCTTAAAGAATACCACGTCCACGTGTGGATGCTATAATGTAAGCTCTCTATACACAGTCTAATCTCATAGACTTTTATATCCATGACATTAATGAATGTGTTCATTTCATTGGTATAAAAAAAATCTATAGACGTTCCTTTAGCTTATGTGAACGTTGGTCAAGATGTTTCACTTAAAGGGGTCATATGATGCTTTTTTTAAAGATCATTATTTTGTGTATTTGGTGTAACAGAATATGTTGACATGCTTTAATGTTCAAAAAACACATTATTTTTCAAATACTGTACATTATTGTAGGCCCTCTATGCCCCGCCTCTCTCAAACTCTTGGTGTTCTACAAAGTCCCTTCTTCTAATGGGAGTAATAATTGACAAGATTTTCATAATATATAATATTTCATAGGAATATTGAAGTATAATTTCTTTCCCTATTCATTTGTTGTGTCTCCCAAAATGCGTAATAAACATGCTTTTAGTCCTGGTGTCCTCATATGAGGACATGTATGAAATCAACATCCTGTTTCGTAACAGAAAGTCATATTTTGATTTGAAACCCCATAACATTTTCCTGAGATGTTGATTTATGACAAACAATTTGAGAATTAGTCAGATTTAAATGATAATTACAAAATATTATCATATTTCCATAAGAGTGTCACTAAATTAATATCAGACATATTTGAAGACCAAGGAGAGGGAGTGGTCATGGTGAAACATCCAAACATTTAGTATCTCTGAAAAGCCCTGAATGTGCTCTGTACAGGACATCCAGACTTAAAACTGTGGCATGTATAGTCTCAGAGAAATACACTAAAATATAATGTCCTCATATGAGGTCACAGGGTCTCAGGAGGTAAACCATTTTGAACATTTGATCAGACAAAACCCCAAAGCATACTTTGCCATCCGTGACATAATTTTCATCATTAGCACTGATTTGGTCATTAGTCCTCTGATGTCCATACACACTGTTTGTGTGTAGCTCAAAATTCCTAACTAACTAAAATGTCCTAAATTACAGTGAGGTTACAAAATAAATAAACTAGGTATTCCTAAAACAGAGTTTTAGGATTTTGTTTTTTTATTATAACTAAGTGTTTAATTAAAACACTGTTACACTGTTAACTTTACCCCTAACATAACTCAACCCTTACCCCAAAACTCTAACCCCTAATCCTAACCTCTAAACAACCATACTGGTCTTGCAGGTAATTAATGTTAGTACATATTAATTCAGGCCACATAATATAAAGTGTGATCAACAATTTTACCGCTAAAGATGGGTTTACTGAGTATACTTCCAAACTAAACTATGCAGATATCCAGATTTGTAGCCCATGCAATATTATATTTAAAATGTATCTATAACCATAATTTTACACCTCACAGTGTAATAACTATTCATTTTTATTTAATAAAAAACATTTTTAAAAGAGAATTACTGAGTGTGTTTCAACAGTTGAACTTTGAATCACAATATAAGACAAATAAGTAGTGTTTAATTACTGAATGAATCCACACTAATTGGGTGAGTCAGTGATTCAATGACTCATTCACAAAGACAGTCACTTTATTCATTCATGAATGACGCCATTTAAATGAATTGGTTTAGACTCACGTTTTTGCAGCGTCTGCAGTGAAAATTTGATTTTGTTCATACTGATTTCATTTGATTTAAAATAACCCTATTGCTTTTCATTATAAACAATTTTATTAATTAAATGTAAGAATTTGACATAAAAGGTGATGCACACATGTAATAAGGTTAGAAAAAAACTGCCCTTATAAAAGTAAAAATCTCTAAATTGAAAAGTTCATTTCTGTAACTGTAAACTAACCACTGCACAGAATATGAAGAATACGAAAAGTTTCAGGAGTCATCTGTCCATGATAGACCTCCAGCCAAGGTGCAGCACAAAATATTTTATATATTTATTTTAATATTTTATTGTCAATATCACACACTCCTATGTTCTTGAAATTATTTCCATGTTTGAAGAAATGGTGTTAGGCATAAGTTAATTTAATTGGTTGAGATCCTGGAAGCTTGCACACATGGAGGCTGCTCTTTAAAGACTTCCAGTGCATGAAAAATAAACGCTGATATAAACATCAATTTTGTTAAACAATGAATTATATCCTCCCAACATCCCTTTGAAGTAGCAGATCCATGATATACTAGAGAAGCCTCCGGTCTTCAAGATCTTTGCTAGCAACCACTTCGTCCCTCTTTGCGAGGCCAAATCCAGTGCTATAATCATTGGAAACTTTGCCTGGCACATCCACCCCACTTCACCTAAGATCCTGAAGAAAGATGCAATAGGACATCTTACCAATGAGGAAATGAAAGGTTCAGTAGATTATTTGTTCTAAATTAATGGTTAATATCATGGCGTGTTGAAGTAGAAACTACTCTTTATCAATAATCTTTTCTGGAAATGATCTAGTCTCTTACATGCTGATTGCATGACCCCTGCAGAGTCGGAGCGGACCTCTTGTCAGACAACATATCCAGTACGCACCATGTGACTAATAAGTAAATTCTCAAACATCAATTAGAGTTATTATGCCCTATGGTCTAAACATTTAAATAATAATACAGCATATATATATATATATATATAAAACACAATATAATTACAAATTAACATATACACATACACAAGTTAAATTTACTGCTTTTATTACATTCAGAATTGTTTAAATAGGTCTGTTTGATTATAGCTTCTTCCTGCACAAAAGCTGCACATTTTAAAACTGGAGTGTTTAAACCAATTACAATGACTTTTAATCAGATCTTTACAAATTGCTCCACATTTGTCTCTGATTGGGGTCTATCAATAAATTTTTTTTTAATTATCATGCTTTTGTGGGAAACTGAAACTGCAAAATTGAGAAGCTTTACTGTACATTACTGTACATTTCTTAGCAGTTGGAATGTACTGCACATCAACCAGCCTTTGTCATTTTGCAAATGGCACTTGGACTTTCTTCCGTGTCAGCATGAAATGATAAGCATGAGCATGATAAGAATGAGTTTGGGTTACCAACCAATGATTAACTCATTCTAAAGGTATTAAATGAGTGACTTCATGTTTATCATTACAAGCTGACTGGGAAGAATGTGTTTTCCTTTTGAGATTTGTTCCTTCTAAAAACTTATGTATGTGTCTTATGTATAGGCCCCCAAAAAAGCTGCTTCCTTAAAACACTTCTCCTTATTCTTTAAAACACAGCATTAAAAACTGAACCATATGGATAGTATTGATTATTTACATTATATGATATTATTTATTTATATTACATTATATTTACATTAACCTAACCAGCCCACTTCAGCTATCAAACCATATTGAATTCATAATGAATAATTCATATATACCCAATTATAGCAAAACATAAAATAACAGCAAGACTTACCCAAGACCATCGTGATCCAAGATTTTCTCTTCACTTTGCATAAACCTACAAATGGTGATTTATCTTGAAGGAATGCTGAATCAGCTTTATATCACTTGGGCAAGGGGGGTATTCCTCAAATTTGGGTGGGAATTGTGGCCCATTTAGGATAGAATTGGATGTTTTAAATCCCCTAGGAGAAAAGTCTTAAAGGGGTCATATGATGCGATTTCAATTTTTCCTTTCTCTTTGAAGTGTTACAAGCTCTTGGTGCATAAAGAAGATCTGTAAAGTTGCAAAGACTAAAGTCTCAAATCCAAAGAGATATTCTTTAGGGAAGTCCCGATTCTTTCGGGAAGTCGTGGCCTAATGGTTAGAGAGTAACCTTTGGGTTACGAGTTCGAGTCTCAGGTCCGGCAGGAATTGTAGGTGGGGGGAGTGTATGTACAGCGCTCTCTTCCAATACCATGACTGAGGTGCCCTTGAGCAAGGCACCGAACCCCCAAAATGCTCCCCGGGTGTGTGTTCATCACCACTGCTCCATGTGTGTGTTCACTGCTGTGTGTGTGCACTTGAGATTTGCATAACGCCGCCCAAATGTTCACGCAAAGAAAGAACGTAACTTTTATTCTCGCTGTAGTATTGTTGCTGCCGCCGCCACACACAAAATAATGTTCTTTTTAGCAGCATCATATGACCCTTTTAAAGCATTTAACACTGAATATAAATAAAATATACTGTATAATGTGCAATATATTCTTAAAAAAAAAACGCTTGCAAAGACTGTACAAATGTTGAAGTTGATAAAAAGTTGACAAAGTCAAGAACACTGAGTTCAGACAAACTGTGTGGTATGACAATGCACAATAACTGAGCAAATACAAATTCTATTTTTTACAGCACTTTTCCCAATACAAAAGTCAAAGCATGTTTTCAGAATGTGTGTGTTAGTGTTTAAAAGGAGATCTGTATTGTCTTTAAACAGTGATAAAGTCAAAGGTAACTTCGGGTAGGTTCAAGTTATCATCAGGGCTTGGCTTCCTGGAATAAATGCTGTGTAACATGTAAATACCATGAAAATTCTATGTAAATGAAGATGAGCAATATATTATTTATTTAACACACTACATGGTTGTTTTAAGATATCTATAACTCATTCTAACTTTCACAGGGTTTTTATGGTGTTAATACAAGAACCTATGCAGCTTTGCTGTAGCTCACATTGAGCGTGTGATGATTGCATAAGGTTTACTCACACATCTCACTGCAACTACTGCACTGTCAGGACATTTATATGCACTTTAAAAGTTACATTTACTTTCCATTACAATGAAGTTCACTTGTCGCTGTTTTTTTTTTTTTAATGGTTCTGGTCATTTTGTCCCACCCAAATTGTAGGATTACTCTGTGGGTGCCATATCACCCATTTCTGCTTTTTGAAAAATAAACATACCTTTGAAATGAGGCATGACAGCCTGCGACACAAGGCAGAAAAATATGGCATAATTCTAACTTAAAACTATATGGCAAGTGCCTATTCAAACCTTTGCCTGCAACAGCAATATTTCAGCAAGGCTTTTTCTTTTTTCTTTTGTGATGACATTCAACCTGGTACATTATGTCCCTTAGAGACACTGGCAACCACAGGTGTGGCACAAGCACAGCAATAAAACCTGTTCTGAGCTGGAGAGCTGAACCCACAGAGGGAGATCCACTTCCATTGTATCCATGTGCAAGACAGATATTAAAGACGTACAACCCAAATCTACAATGATTTATGTGTTAATCACTGTATTAAGGCATAAATGATTTTAAGTTTTATTGACAGAACATTCAGTTTCATTCTGGCTTTTACTACTGTTCAGAAACAAGTGTCTATTGTACTGGACATTTTAAATAACTTAAAATTGTAGTAATCAGATTTTTTTATGGCTGTATTTACAGTATAAAGCAAACATGGCCATTTTTGTCCCTCTGGTCTCAATGGGTTAAAGTTTGACGTAAAACAAACATATAGGTCACACAGGTTCTTACATGAAGGACCAGTCAAACCAGTTTACACAAAACAGGGCATTCTAAAAAGAAAGCTAAGCAAACATTTTATTGTTGTTACTGAATGGGTTTATTTTTAAAATATAATTGATCAGGGATTTCGTTGAATCCGTTTGATTCAGGTCAATGCTATAAAGGCTATTTTGTAATGCCTCAGTGTTCACTACTAACTTAATGAATTTATATCATGCCACTTCTTGGAAACAGAAACTTGAGCTGCCTGGGAGTGGCTTTCCTGTAAATCTCATGACTGCCGAGTTTTTTCTTTCATCTGCCTGCGCTTATCAAAAACACAAATACACAAGTCACAACGGGACATTTCAAATTTTTATTTCAGTTTCCCTTTTGTTTCTATTCATCATGTTACTTACACTAACTTTCAAGTACATACACATGCATATATATCTAAAAACAGAGAGAAATATGAGGTTGCAAAATTATGAAGAAACATTAACAATTAAATTTACTCCTGAGATAATAAAGTATGTCTTTCTATCTAGCTGTCAAGCCCCAATGATATTGTTCAACCCAACAGACTACACTACAATTAATGCACAGGTAAAATATTTATTTTATTTATCGAAACACAGTCCAAATACTTCTGGTCTTGGTAAGAGGTTTACCATAACTTTGTTAGATAAATTCAGTTGAAATGGCTGCATGCATTCAGTGGTTTACGTGCCAACCAATAGCAAGATGTTTTTGTTTGAAATGTTTTGATCATGACAGATGACACACCCTCCAGACAATGGAACAGACATACTTTTCAGATTATGCATAAATATATTCTATTTTCCCCTAATTTAAATTAACTTTAAGGTATAAAAGATAAATTAAAATAGTAAAATCTTGAACAACATACAGAAGTAGTTTGTTAGGGCTGTCATGTGTCATGTCTGCTATTCAAAAAGTAATCTTATAAAAGACTAAAACACAAGTTGTCCAACTGATGTATGAAATGAATCAAACACGAAGCACGAATTCAAGGAACCTGTTACCACAGCTTTAATAAATGCATGGTTAAAACCATTCAATAAATTATTCTAATTTATTCATTTAATTTAACCTTTTAAGTTGCCAACACTATTCTGATGAGTTCTGTTGAGGTAATAAAGCTGATTATTACATAAACTTATTATTGTGTGTAGTGTCAAATTTCTGCGTTAACTGAAAAAAAAAATTTTAATAATAAATGTTGAAATTAAGTTATTTTGTGTTTTTAAGTGAAAGGAATGACCTGCTAGTGTTTAGTGCTGTTATGTTTGATATTTAAGAGTTTCTATTATGCTGAAGATTTTGTGGTTACCATTGTGCTGAAGAGTAGACCATTGACTCTATGAGCAATGACTGTGCTAATGCCAGTGACAAGTAATATCTTACTTTATCATTAAATTTACATGTTAGATAAGCTACATTTATCATGTGCTATGCTAGCTGTTGATTATATCGGATAAAGAGAAGATTAATTGATTCCAGGACCACAAATCCATTAAATCAATTTTTTTCCTCTCAGTTCTTCTCAGTGCAGTTTGTTGGTTGAACATAATTTCATTAGTTGTCAAACGATTGATGCGGTCACTTTTTTTTTTTTTTGAGCCAACACATCTGTGTACTCCCTCATGAGTCTCCTATAGGCCTACTCCATCTGATCAACTGAAAATATTCACACTTGCTGCTTGAAAGTATATTTTTTGAAATTATCATGACATCATACCTGCCAAAATTAACCATCCCTCAACATTAATCACTTGCAAAATAGCACTGTAGTGCACTGCAGTGCACTGCAAGTATTGCCTAACACACATACTGTGCTGCACTCTAGAGGCACACACTGCAAAGTACAGTATCAACAACTATGTTAACATGAACCCTGCAATATGATTAAGGAAGTACTGTTGGAGCTCATGTAAACAATACTGTAATTACATTAATGTAATAATGCTCATAATTAAAGTAACCATAAATGTAGTCAAGTCACACTTAACGTCTAACATTAGTTTATCACTTATACCATACTAAACACCAATGTTAGCTAATCCTATTAGCTTCGAGCTAGTTTCTTTCCCTGCTGAAAGACACCGTAAATCAGCCTAAACTGGTCTGTTGGTCATAGCTGCTCTCTCAGTCTGATTACACAGGACCACTGGCTGGTCTTAATGGGGTTTTGCCCAAATTCATCTAGTCGGGCTGGGAGAACTTATCCAACAAGCAGGTTTTTTTATTATTATTTAAAACGAAATAGCCAAATAAACAAACATTGTTGTTACTTATATTGTAGCTATACTTCTATTTATTTAAGTTAATGTTATTCCTCACCGGGATCGTTAGTTTACTCCCTCCTCTGCCGATGGCAACCTTTTTCGAATAGCATTAAAAGTCCAAAACATGCCTTTTGCGCTTTTACATGGGTAACGTTAACGTTATGTTCCAAATGTCCATTGGTTCCCTGCAAACAGCGAACTTAAAATAAAAGTTCACATGACGATCATCTCAGGAGAAAATCCAGTTCGCAGAGAGCGTGCATGCTCATCCAAAAATGCGCGACAGATGACACAGGAAACAACACCGCTTTACAACGGAAGCCGAGAGAGGGTTAACCCCTAATCCTAACCTGAACTGTAGATGTCAGAACTTTAATATTTTAAGCTAAAATGCCAAATGTGGCATCTAGCTCAACAGTAGCTGTCACAATACTGCACGTGTTGCCGCCATGCACTGTTTTTAGCAGGACTTTCAAACAGGACACTGGTTTTGATGACACAACGTGTGTTTGTATATAACAATTCCACTAAGGGGCGCTGAGTAAATTGACATGCAAAAATGTACAGTAATAAGTATAGCCTACGTTATATATTATTCCTGTGAGGGCCAAAAGAGGGAGACAGAGAACAGAGTATAAGGTCACAGACAAGTTTTAACTTTAAACCGCATAAACACATTTCATTACACCAAATACACAAAATAATGTTCTTTTTAGCA